CTCACCATACCTATACTGGGGAAAGGAAAACTACAAATCTCAAGCTATTCTTCACTACCATTATCAATAAGGACTCCGAAATTCATGAACCAGTTTTCGGGCATTCTCTTGAAAAGCAAGCAACCAGAACCAATGAAACATAGGGATAAGTAGCATCACAAGGGTGGTAACCATTAAAAACTAGGTGATAAATGTAGCGAAGAAGTTATGCACAAGGGGAAATAAGAAGAAGGGAAAGAGAGAAAGAGAAGGTGAGAAGCGAGACAAGAGGAACCAAAACACACAAACGGTGTAAAGACAAATGGACGATACATTAACTAGTAGGATCAAGGGTGTCAGTAAACAACTTGAGAGATAGTACAGTTCTCTTTTTTTTGCACAAAGGTGGCTGGATAGTGTTCTAGTTTCTCTTGTCTCACTTCTCAGACATCTCCTGTCTCCAAGAAAGTTATATCATATTTATATTCCGTCAACTTTAATATAGCCAATCTATCATTATAAATTTCTTCACCAGCATTCAGTATAGTCCAATTTATAATAGCAAACAACTAATATCTTTTTCATTCTCCTTTGGTTTTGAATCTGCTCCAGGTGGTAGTCTATACTACGTAATTCAGTATAGTGTTCTCAGAGGAGATACTGAGGAGAGAGTGAGCAACGATATCAACATTGCAATGCCACTCTACACCATAACTGGACTAAAGGAGAGGAGAAGTGTTTTGATCACGGTGTTTGCTGTCAACTCGGTCGGTGCTGGACATCGTGTCACTTTAGGCACTACAACAGCTGCAGTCAGAGTACAACCTGATATCACTGATAAACCAACTTATCAACCAATACCTCCTGCTTTCTGCAAGTTGCCCAGTGAACTAGGGTGTGCTGTGTCTGTTGCAAGTACACTCACCCCAGAAGTTATCAATCTGATGAAACTGAACTTCTCAGCAAAAACTTCACTTAACTTAACCTGCAGAGAAGGCCTGTATGTTTCTGGTCAACGGTCACAGCGGGATCAACTGATCACATGCCAGAAAAGTGGAATGTGGACAAAGGAAATCTCCGCTTGCTCAGGTACACATATTTGATTGCCTATCCCTCACCGTATAGCACAAAAAACACAGAGGCAGTGCACCGTAATCTGCTAGAATGCCTAATTTCTATGATGAGCGGAGTGCAATACAGAAGAGGTACTCAGAAGAAAGTAGGGATTTATGTTTTTGGTTAAAGGAATGGACTCAGATGGATTGGGAGAACTTCAAATTCAAAGGATCAGTTGGGGGAAGTGAACTTCTTGAAAAGAGAAAAATGCAAACCCCACTAGGACTCTAAACCCGGGACCTTGCTTGTCATGAACAATACTGGAGCTATCTGAGCTATGGGACCAGACCGAACCGAGTGCAGTGTTTGCAGGCAGGCTAACTGGCGGCCAAGTAGCCCGGCAAAGAATGCGCTTGACCGCTATAAAAAGGAAGTCAGGCATGATCGCCGCCTGAATGAACATGCCTCGTGATTTACCGGACAGTGCTCGTCGCCACAAAGCGCCTATCTTGCGGGCAGCCTTGGTGATGATCACCTCAGCGTGAGGATCCCACGACAGCTTGACATCTATAATTACACCGAGATACACAGCGGAGGTGGGTCATTCGGGGAAGCGAACTGCCTGAAAAGAGAAAAATGTCAACCCGACCAGGGCACGAACCGGGACCTTTCTTGTCACGAGATGTGCTATAACCGTCTAAACCTTTGGACCAGGCCGAACCTAGCTGGCGCTGACAAGTTTTCACTCACTCTTTCCACACAGTCCCCTTTTGGAGGGAAAGTGACCCATGTGCTATCAGTCTGAGTGGCACGTGCTGTGAGCTGCCTTTTGAGTGAAAAACTTGCCAATGCCTTAAGGTTTGGCACGATCCAATAGCTGAGTTGGTTAGAGCAACGCTCATAACGTACGTCCAGTGTAGCACACATGCCAACCGTTCTCGTGTGATGAGAGCCCTCTCTTGAACAGTAGCCCATCTGTGATGGACATTGAACAAATAGTATCCCAGGGTCCCCGATCACGGCAGTACGGCAATTCTATCTGTTGTCAGGGTGCCTATTACTTCAAGTAGGCCAATTGCGAGGCTTATTTGGTCCATGATGATCCGGTATGGTGTATCCATGCCCTTTAGTCCCCACTGGTGCTGCAGTTCACCAAGTGGCACCCTGCACCTATGCAATTCTGCCAACTTACACTCTACTCACACCTCTCAAAAGAATGTGATGAATTTTCCCCCGAGTTGTAACGAAACGCGGTGGGGGTGGTGGCGTCCCACGGAAGCGGAAAGGTGGTTCTTGACCAGGGAGTTGTACGACTCCTTGCTCTTGACCTGCCCGGTACGCGAACCCGTCGTATTTTTATTTTTTGTAACGAAATCGGATACGAAATGTTTCTACACTCCACGAAGAAAGTTAAATATTGTTTCACCCTCCTATCCTTGAGCTGTGTTGCACAATGTCATCCTGAAGCTATGCATCTGGTTATGAACCAGCACCATACCCTCTCGACCATGTATGACTAATATCCTATGGATGATAGATGAAAAATGCTGAATTGGAAGTTGAAATTTTCAGGTAATGACGTGGTATTGACATGGATCACTTTTTGTATGTTGTGTCATATAATGCCATTTGAAGCCTGAACAATCCTTGTAAATGTCTTAGAGGATCCATACTTACAAGAATGTGTTTTTCTGTTGTATTTTGCAGCACCAGTTAGTACTGCTGTTGGCCTTGGTTATAGTCAATTCAGCTCCGACATTTCAGTTACAGTATCTATCATAAGAGGTATTTTCTTCGCTGCCAGTGTTGCCCTGAACCTCATCTTCTTTTTCAAGGTCTACAATAAGAAATGTAAGCCATCTTCAACTTTACTGTTCAGACTGTGTTATTTTCCCAGTTTAGTCAAGTGTCGAGTTTGGCAGGAAGCGTGGGTTCCTCGTAAGAACAACAAACTTCATCACTAATACCGCCAAAGCCGCAATTTCTTAGTTCGTATTGTTGTCCACCATTCAAATTCCGCATCCAGTATCCAGTGCTGAAGGTCCACGATTACTGCCAATTGCGGTGCATGCGTCGATGTGTAGTCCACACACGGCTAGAAGAATAAACTGAAACTTAACAGAACCAAATGTTTTCGTTCCCTTCTCATCATGAGCTCATACAGGGAATAAAGCGCTATATTCCCTGTACGAGTTCATGATGAGAAGGGAACGGAAACATTTAGTCCTTGATGGGTCGGGATGATAAAGGCGAAGAAGTTCATTCGATTTGTTCTTTTAGACTGGCGTAGATGCCATAATTGGATGTGTGTACTACCTGAAGAATTTGGAAAGCTATAAATCATCTGCTTTTTCACTTCGTTAATCAATTTTTGTGTTCTTGTGTTTTTGCATTCTATCTGTAGGATTGTCCTGGCTCATATTTCTCCAAAAAAAGAAATACAATTCTTCTCTGAAGACAAGCACAGACTCATCTCTAGGTGCAGACAATGGAACAAGCTTACCCGTTGTCATTCGGAGATAACCCCGAAAAAATCTGCCCCCTTTCCTAGTGGGCTATTGCCAAAGCCATGCCTCCCCCCCCCCCCCTCACGTACATGCTACGCCATTTCAGACAGCGTCTCAATATTAAATTGTAGAAACTGAACCAGAAATCCGATGACAGGATGCCTATGAATGCCTTACTTCGTTAATTAAGACTAGTTTGGCTTTGGCTGACATTCATATCAGACACTCCTTTCCTTACTACCACCACTACTCACACAAAAATCCACCCCTAATAGTTATCCATCTGTATGTACGTCTGTATGTCCGTACTGCCGACAAAGGAGTGAATTTACAAATTCGACCTTTCAGGGATTTCACGACCAGTCTGCCCCCTTAGATCTTTGACTATGGCATACTTATACATGAATCTTTGATCGGTATCTTTTCGATCCATAAACGGTTGTTGGTGTTTGTGAATGCGTGTGCTTGAAAAAGCCACTCTGATATGTTGCAACTACTGTACATGTACATGTACATGTACACGTCATGTACATTGTACATTATGTATTGACTGAGTACGAGGTCAATATAGGAAATAAATGCCGAGTAAAAGACCGAGGCGAAGCCGAAGCCGAAGTCTTTTACGAGGTCTTTTTGACCAAGTACGAAGTCAATATTAGATTTATCATGACTAAACCAAAGCATGTGTTCAATCGCTAAAAGGAGTCAAATATAAGCAGTCAATATAGCCCTAAGGAGTGAAATATGCAGGAATATTTGATTTGCTTAGGTATAGAAAAATCTATGGGAGTCAATACTAAGGGAGTGATATACATGTACATGACATTGTATATCCACTGATAACACTTTGGAGATGCTGTTGGTACCACAAAATAGCCTTGTGCTGTCTTCAACATCTCAGTTGTGTCTGTGTGGTCACGCTATCTTCAACCCTTCATACATGTCACGTATCTTTGTTGTGTCTGTGTGGTTTGTGGTTGTGGTTACGCAATCTTCAACCCTTCACACATGTATCTCAGCTAGCTGTGTCTGTGTGGTTACGCTATCTTCAACCCTTCATGTCTCAGCTGTGTCTGTGTGGATGTTAATGACATTTTGTGTATGTGACCTCGTGATATCCATCAATGTCAACTTCCGATGCTAAACCTGGGAGAAACCTGATTTGAGAAAAACGACTAGCGAAAGCAGTTACCTATCGTTTTTCCAAAAGAATTATCGACTGCTGATGCATGCATGCTCGCATATGCAGCTGGTTTCACGTATGACTTTATAAACATGACTAGTCTTTATAAACTGTTGAAAAAATCTTTTTGTTTCAGGTGTCAAAGAGACGTCGCGCCCGATCCGATCGCCGAGTCTTCACGCACAGGCTGTTCACCATGTTCACGCCACCTGGCCGGGAGCTGAATATTTTCGGAGAAACACTACAACATGATTCATTGATTGTAGTACATTTTGTAGTAGTATGTTATTTCAAAATGTCAATGGCGACAGCATCTAGGAAAGATCGCATCCCTAACGAGTAACGTGAAAGAAAGGCATTGTCGTGGCTGCTCTACGAAGGGTTGAAGAAAGAAATGTTTTCGCTAGTTGCTGGCCGAACAACTCGCTGATGCCGAAAAACTTGGCCTCCAATGGTGTTTCTTTGGTGAATCATCAATCAAAATAGTATGTCTTGTGGCAGTATTCACGGAGGAAGGAGAACGATCTCGCCACTACTGTTGTTCGTTTCATCCACGTTGGGCGTTAGCTGCACTGCGGCTATTGTGTTTTTTAATATTCCATGGACACACAACAGAATTCTGATCGATCGCGGAACCACAACGTATCTTCCCGCAGCGTCGCATTGTCCATGAGCGCAAACGTCAGCCGTTACCCATCGTCATTCATGTCGATTTGGAGTATGTACGCCATGCGCCAGTGGGCCTTGGCACGACGGCGACAGCTCTGAGGAGTGTTCAGGTGAAAAACGTTAATTTCGATTGTTGGTGAACGAACAAATCGCTGGTGGCGAAAAACTTGGCCTGCACCGATGGTGTTTTGTGAATCATCAAGAATGGTGTGTAACAGTGTTCACCGAGGAAGGAGAACACTCTCGCCGCTACTGTCGTCCGTTTTTTCCGCGCCATTCACGCTTGGCGTTAGCTGCACTAAGCCCATTGTGTCTTAGTATTCCATGGGCACACCACGATCAAGCATGATGTCTGAGCTGTGTTCACAGAGCGAGGAGATGCTCTCGCCGCTATGTTCTGTCCTGTGGATTACCAAGTGTTGAAGGCTCGCAACGATGGCGTTGGACAAGTCAGATCAAAATGGAGTCAACGTAAGTACGCATGTGTACTGACTGCAGCATAAGTGGGGTGTAAGAGCTAATGCATAAGGCCACCATTTCTTACTTCTATGTTTCGCATCAGTTCAACTTCCAGATTCATATGCGGGGGGTGGAAAACAAGTTGCAAAAAATATATAATAGACTCAACAGAGGTGTATAGCACAAGAGCTCGTGCATGGTGTACATTCGAAAGAAAAACCGTGCATCGAATCACGAAATCTGGGTTACCCCGTATTATCTCTAATATAAGCACGGTCCTTAATTTTTTCAATGTACCTCCGCCCCGTGCTATTATTGGAGACGTTCCTTTATTGGAGACTGTTCCATTATTATTTCAACCTCATTTCAGAGGCATGTTGCCATGCCAAATTTATATGTCAGACACACACATTTCAGGGTTTTTTTCGCTGGTACAGATAATGAATTTGCACAGTGTGCTTATAATGGAGACTGAGCACTTTTGTTTGAATGCCGCCCCAAGGTGTTCTATTATTGGAGACGTGCTATTATTGGAGACTGTGCTTATATTAGAGATAATACGGTATATTTTTTTCCGAAAAAATCAAAACGTGTGCCGGCGGACGACGCAAAACATAGATATAACAATAACTACAGTGCTGCCAACCTGCTCGGTTCGTTTTGCGTACTTGGACAGCTGAATTTCCGCATTTTCCAGAGTTTTTTCCAAACCACCATCTTTTTAATTCCATGATTAATAATGTATTTTTTACGAAATTGTGTAGTCTTCGGGGTACCGGGTACTTGTGTGCATGTATTGATGTACATGTGCTGTAGACTGTAGTACTAGTACTAATCACCATGGTCACAATTGTGGTTGTGGCACGCACTGTAGCTGGCTTTGCTAGGATAAGGATACTCATAATATTATTCATAAATCAAGGCCATATCCATAGTCCTTATGCACGTTGTACAGATGTACGAAGTTCTGCACTAGGACCGTAGGTGTGTACAGACCCGGCTGGGTGTTCATTGTATGCTATACATGCGCATTTGACCAAGTTCAGCCTCACAATTAGGGGCAAACAATCGCTTTTCCAGCTTCTTCACTTTGCTTAGAACTAACAACTAGCTAGATCTTTGTCAGAAAAAAGGTTTCGTATGAAATGCCTCCAGGGCCCATTTCTTAGTGGAAATAGAAAACACAATAGGGTCCTGCATATTCAACACCCAACCGGGGCAACGGGATTCTACGAGATTCTACGAGATTCTGTTCCTCTGTACAACGTGCATAACGCTTATTCAAACTGTACTCATCATGTACATGTACATGACATGCATACCATGTCATGTACATGTAGAAAAACTGGTTCATATTCAGCTGATCCATACTCCTCAGTTTTCCGTACCATTTCGGTCAATTTCCGTACTGCGGACAAAGGAGTTAATTTCCGTACGAATACGGAAAAATACGGAAGGTTGGCAGCACTGTGATTATCTGATCGGGCGCGTATCTCCGTCTAAAATAAGTAAACAACGACGACTTATTGCACTGGACGCATTTGTTAAATGTTGACATGTATGTGTAAAATGTTATACGATGATCACAAGGCCCACATACATGGCGACATTTAGTAATTGCTTACAGCGCAATTTGTCGTCCTTGTAGCTATACTAATTTTAAGCAGTGTGTTTGTTTTTCTACGAGTGCCCATGGACTCCAATCTGGTTAGAATTGAGGAGGAAAGGTGCTGTAACCTAGGGAACTCGGCCACCTCAGGTCTCGACTCTATAGGAATGCACCAATATCATGGAGAAAAACATAAGAGAAAAGGGGGAATTTTACCTAGGCGAATTCTGTGGATCAAAATGCAAAGCTGCTGCTGTTTGCGATTATCTTGCAGTGGCTGAGTATTGCTGATACAATAGAGCTCAAGACTAGGAAATAATTGCTGCTTGTTAAACAATATTTTAAGAAGAGATTTATGTTGGATTTTAAGTTTGTTCACAAGATGCTGACTTAGACTACAACGATACACTTAGACGACTCGACTTTAGTCTCGTTTACAATTGCAATATCTGTAGAATCACTTGCCAAAATTGACTGGAACTTGGAACACCTTTCCTCTCCTTCACGCCCATAACGACGGCCACAGTCAGGGCGATGACAAATAGAATGCTAAGAACGATAATCCCTTGTCCTGATGATGCTTTACTGCCACACACACGGTCCGCATCTCTTGAGGTCATGAAACCTTGAGTTCTCTCTTCATTAGACACCGCCGCCACCGCCTCCATCACTGTCATCATCCTCAGCCCACTACCTGTTTAGCCTGTGGCTCTGGGCCGAATAAGTGGCGGTGTCGGCATGCTGTGTTGGCTGGGCCTTGGTACTGGTTGCTGTGGTCGGTAGCACTTCCGCTGCTCCTCTATGATGCAGAGCTTCAGTGCCATCAACATCTGGAGGTCTAATTTGACCATACCTTTTTAGCACCTTTCCTCTCCTTCACCACCATAACAACGGTCGGTAGCACATCCGCTGCTCCTCTATTATTCGGAGCTTCAGTGCCACTGACGTCTGGAGGTCTAATACAGCCATAGCGTTCTGGCACCCTTTCTCTCTTTCACCACCATAACGATGGCCACAGCTAGGGCGATACCACAGAGAACACTACGAGTGATGATCCCTGATGCTTTCCTGACACACACACGGTCCGCATCTCTTGAGTTCTTTAGATCTTTAGTTCTCCCTTCATTAGACACCGCCGACACCGCCTCCATCACTGTCGTCGTTCTCAGCTCATTCCCTGCTAAAACTGTGACTTTGGGCAGAATAGGTGACGGTGTCGGCATGCTGTGTTGGCGGGGCATTGGTACCGGTTGCTGTGGTCGGTCGGTCGCTGCTCCTCTATGATGCAGAGCTTCAGTGCCACCAACGTCTGGAGGTCTAATTTGACCATACCTTTTTAGCACCTTTCCTCTCCTTCACCACCATAACAACGGTCGGTAGCACATCCGCTGCTCCTCCATTATTCGGAGCTTCAGTGCCACTGACGTCTGGAGGTCTAATACAGCCATAGCGTTTTGGCACCCTTCCTCTCTTTCACCACCATAACGATGGCCACAGCTAGGGCGATACCACAGAGAACACTACGAGTGATGATCCCTGATGCTTTCCTGACACACACACGGTCCGCATCTCTTGAGTTCTTTAGATCTTTAGTTCTCTCTTCATTAGACACCGCCAACACTGCCTCCATCACTGTCGTCGTTCTCAGCTCATTCCCTGCTAAAACTGTGACTCTGGGCAGAAAAGGTGACGGTGTCGGCATGCTGTGTTGGCGGGGCATTGGTACCGGTTGCTGTGGTCGGTCGGTCGCTGCTCCTCTATGATGCAGAGCTTCAGTGCCACCAACGTCTGGAGGTCTAATTTGATCATATCTTTTTAGCACCTTTCCTCTCCTTCACCACCATAACGACAGCCACAGCTAGGACGATAACACAGAGAACAATAAGAACGATGATCCCTGGTCATGATGCTTTACTGCCACACACACGGTCCACATCTCTTGAGATCTTGAGTTCTTGCGATCTTGAGTTCCCTCTTCATTAGACACCGCCGCCACCGCCTCCATCACTGTTGTCATCCTCAGCCCACTGCCTGCTAAAGCTGTGGCTCTGGGCCGAATAGGTGACGGTGTCGGCACACTGTGTTGGCGGGGCATTGGTACAGGTTGTGACGGTTGGTAGCACTTCCGCTGCTCCTCTATGATGAGGGGAAAGAGGTCAGCCATGCACAGCATGTACGCCACTAGACAGCAATCGTTGTCGGAGGTTGTGGCGTTGTCATCATCCCTGCCGCCTCTGGCGCCGCCGCCGCCTTGATGCCTGTCGGCAGACATTTGTGTGTGCGAGGCATAGGAACGGGTTGCTGCGGTCGGTAGCACTTCCGCTGCTCCTCTATGATGCGGAGCTTTAGTGCCACCGACGTCTGCAGCTCCAAATCAGCCAAATAACAGATACTTAGTTCCCTCAGCAGGCTCAGTTATTGACTCGCTTTGACCGCTAGGCAGGAAACAACAAAACATAATGGGACTATCATCAAACTAACGATGGAAAAGGAACGTGAATGGATTACGATGCGCTTAACGGAACTTTTTTTGTTGGCGAGGCATTGGTACGGGTTGTGACACTCGGTACCACTTCCGCTGCTCCTCTATGATGCGGAGCTTCAGTGCCACTGACGTCTGTAGTTCCAAGTTAGTCAAGTATTCGTTTTCAGACTCACTTTCAATGCTCGGCAGGAAACAAAAAAACATAATTGGACTATCATGAAACTTACGGTGGAAAAAGAATGTGAATGGATTACGATGCACGTAAGGGCAACGGACCCACAGAGGTACATGTACTGTACTTGGAATTGCAGTAAGTGCTGTGTGTGCTATTCTACAACAGCGTATTTACCAGATATGCTGGCTATCCTGCTGGGGTGGCTGTGTACACTGCTGGGTAGAACACTGAGCATCTTGTGGCAGCGACTCAGGTGACTGTTGGGCAGAGGAACGCTTGTAGCATCAGTGTGGGGACTGGGTATCCTGCTGGAATAGCTGTGCACCGTGCTGAGGAACACTTGTGGCTGTGTACGGTAACAGGTGTTCTGGCAGCTGTCAGATCACGCCTCGCCTTCAGGACGTTGTTCATCCTTATGCCATTTCTAGGTTGCTGTTCCTCTTCATCCTGATACTATTGTTGGGGGGGGGGGGGCTGCTCATGCAGCTGCTGCTGTTGTTGTTGTTGTTGTTGTTGTTGTTGTTGTTGTTGTTGTTGTTGTTGTTGTTGTTGTTGTTGTTGTTGTTGTTGTTGTTGTTGTTGTTGTTGTTGTTGTTGTTGTTGTTGTTGTTGTTGTTGTTGTTGTTGTTGTTGTGGGCACTGGTGCTTTTCCACCAGTAGTTTGATGATAGTCCTATTTTGTTTTGTTGTTTTCTGCCTGGCGGTCAAAGCACGTCACTGTCTAATGAAGAGGGAACTCCATATGAGAGCGTTTTGGAGGGTATACCATCTCACACTGTCCAGCCATGAATACTCAGGTAAATTCTAGTTTTGCATCTACCTATGCAGAAAAAAAAACAATTCTCTTTCCATTTAGCCGTGGGCAATAACCTGGCATCCTAGCCTTTTGTTGTTTCGAAATTATAAATGAAGATATCGTAGAAGCAACAGTCCATCCTGCATTGTGCGATGTGAGCAATCATTCCTTGCCAAATTTTATGACCAGAAATATCCAAGCAAAGGGAATTAGAAATATAGCCAGTTTTTTACAAAATTCAGACATGTATACCATAGCAAAATGTATGAAGAAGCAGATCCAAAACCCGGATTTTCAAGTTTCTGATGTTTTATCAAGCATCGGGCTTTCAAAAGACAGCGAGATAATTTCGGATGAATCAAATGTCATACACGCGCACATACACATTGTAAAAATGGACCAGCTGTGTCCACCACGTGTCATATGAATGTGTCCTGTATGCCTGCACACGGCTTCAAGTCCAGTGCGCCATGGCTGCTTGATTTCTCACCGTAATTCATTGTCCACAACTGTACCTTATCTGCACAGCACTTACTGCAATTCCAAGTACAGTACATGTACCTCTGTGGGTCCGTTGCCCTTACGTGCATCATAATCCATTCACGTTATTTTTCTACTGGTAGTTTCATGATAGTTTTATTTTGATTTGTTGTTTTCTGCCCAGCTGTCAAAGCGCGTCAGTGTCTTATGTGGAGGGAACTGACCATGAAGCTTTGGCCGATCTAGACCGCCAGACGTCGAAGGCAGTGAAGCTCTGCATTATAGAGGAGCAGCGGAAGTGCTACCGACCGTCGCAACCTTTACCAATGCCCCGCCAACACACCATGCCGACACCGCCACCTACTCGGCCCAGAGGCACAGCTTTAGCAGGTAGTGCGCTGAGGACAACAACAGTCATAGAGGCGGTGCCGCGGTGGTGGCGGCGGTGGAGGTGGAGGTGGCAATGATGATGACGACGACGACTCTACCGACGATTGCTTTGTGATGTTATACATGCATAAATAAATATAAATAAATAATTAAAACACACACTTATTCACACACTCATTCTCGTAGTAATGCAGGTAAATATTCCTGTACTCTTACGCGTATACACAGTTTACACACCCTTCCGTATTCCGTGCACGTGAACGCATTGCCTTCTGGCCGCTTCCCTTTCCTCCTGTTTCCAATGTGCACGGCTGGGTTATTTCCGTTAATTCTTTGTTCGCACGCCCGCTTACTGTTTATGCTTCACAAATTTGATGAAGTTGCACAAATTTTGTGCAGAATTCTTACAGAAAAAAGAGTAAAATTAATTATAGTGTCCGTTCACGAAGGGAACTCACGACGGCCGCTAACACTCGATAAAACCTAGCGGCAGATTCAGCGCCTAACGGTGGAGGTGAGTTGATAAGTCTCACAACCACTGGCACAAGTGCCGAATACGACCCCATTAGCTGCAAACACACAGACAGATAACTAATTCGGAAAGATCTCTTCATCTAGCTGGTGTTAGATAGCTGGTACGTAAAGATCTATTGCCATAAATAAAATGTGTTACGTGATATATGCATCGATAGTCGCCTTGGAGGCGACCAATGACTCTGAGAGATCAAACTGCGCGGGCTGGAAAGCGCGGTCCTGCTTGCTCTAATTCAAAGGTGATGGAACTGGATCCACTGCCCGTCGTCAAGTGACGACGGGCATGAACAGATTCTACTGCCAGTCGTCATGACGACGGGCAGGAACGGAATACACTGCGTTTATTGGCTGACGAACTTGGCTCGTGGACAAGGACAACGGAAAGCGCGAGTTATGTACTGTCGTGGACATGGAAATACGGTTGCACGTCTAGCGGCCCCAGGGCGCTGGCCATGCAGCCGAGGATACATGTAATGTAAGTCGTACACACATGCATTTTTATAATAAAGTGCTACAGGCTACATAACAGCGCGCTGGTCGCATCGGATCAACACGTGCACTGCACGCAGCATTCTGTGCGCACTGAGGGCGCCGGCCCAGCCCGGTCGACTGGATTTCGAATGGAAGGCCTCTTTTACGGGCAAAGCAAAGCACAATCATCACCATGTATCAGTACAGTGAGTAGTTAAACCCAACACGAATGAAAAATGTGAAATGGAATAAAAACAATATTTTGTAAAAAAATAAAAAATTAAAATTAAAATTCAATATCGAACACGAATAAAATGAAATAAAAATATGTAAAAAATAAAATAAAATAAACCCAATATCGAACACGGAATTAATTCCGGAACTATCTACTCAACCAATGCGGCAATACCCGCACACTGTGTCAGTGATGGAACTCCGCTACCCGATCAACATGCAGAGACCACTCACTGGATTTCCATGTCCACGACAGTACATGGTTGTATGGTGTGCACGTGCATGCATGCTCTGTGTCTTTGGCTTGGGCGCACACGAGAAACACGTAACCATGGTAACGTCGCTCATCATTATTATTAGGCACTTCAATGACCAGCGCTTTGGCCGAGTGGTTGTGGGCTTGCCTGCGAATCACAAGGTCCCGAGTTCGAGACCCGCGCTGGGAGCAGGGAGCGTATACTGTGCTAGCAAATGCGGTGATGCATGCGTGAACCACTTTACATGCTGTGAACTGCGCCGACACCCACGGTCAACTGGGTACTCACTACTCGGAGTGAGGGTAACATGGATGCAGCTAACGAGGTTAGCCCCCTTGTCGGGCATTGGTTGTGAGACTTACCACCTCACCCTCGCCGTTAGGCGCTGCATCTGCCACCCTGGTAGCACAGGCATGGTGGTGGCTTGGCACATGCGAAACTTCCTAACTGGTTGTGTTTCTCAACGCAATTGTATAGCCGGTGGTAACGCGGACGTGCAAACTTTAGTATTATCATTCATCATAATCACTCGGTCAGTACACATCACGTGACATGGTCAGTACAGGCTCAGTGCCGCTGTTCATCCAGCCCTTGCGGCGCGGGCTGGATTCCGGGGTACTGCCCTCGTGCTCGTGCAGGAACCTGTATAACAGCCGAAGATTGTGAATGGTACAGAGAACATTTTCCTGACGTCGGTGTGTACTTGGTTTCACAGATGTGAACAGCAACTCATCACGATCAGGGATCGTCACTCTTCGATCTTCCAGTTCTCTTTGTTCTCGCTCTGCCTGGGTCGCCTTTATGGTGGTGGAGGAGAATAACGGAGCTAAACAGATCAACCTTCTGTAAGTCCTTGGTGCAGCAACCACAGCACATTCAAGCATTAGAATAATTATTTTCTCAGTCAACCCAGACACTGACAGTACGTGTGCAGCTTGCTGATGCAAAAGAACCTTGTACTTTGTAGTGAATGCTTCGGTACAGATCCCCTGACAGGGCGCACACTTCCCATTCCGGTGGAGATGGGGAAACTTGATTGAGAATATTGAATGAATGGCATTCTCCAGTTTCCTCGGAAATCGTCTGCCACCAGGATGAAAATCTAGATCATGTGCCGTACTGTACGATGTACAGTCTTTGAAGTGGACATTCCATGTGCACTGCATCCCTTGCTGCAGTAAAGTGTGGAAGCTCCTCCACAAAATGTCTATAATTATTTCACGCAGTGTGCAAGCTCTGGTTAAAAGTCTGTCCTTAGAATTGGCATCACATTCCCGTGGTGCCGGGATTTGGAAGAGCTATGCGTCATGAATGCCTAGGCGTTCACTCTAGGCTTCAAGTTACCCTTTACAGCACATCGTGGTTCAGTACTCGTAGCACCATACTCCAGTCAATAATTGTAACTGTCACAGCTTGTGAAGCCCTGATCGCTCCATATTTCAGAAAATAGTGCCGTATTTTCTACCGGTCTCCTTTTTGATTTGCTTTGTGTATACATGTAATTCTTACATTTTGTTTTGCAGAAATGAACGTAACAGCCAGCTCGAGGCGATGTATTTTGAGGCTAGACCAGCAACTCCCGACACAGCGGTTAATGTTCAGCCAGGAATACGCAGGTACATTTTGATTTCGCATCTACCAATGCAGAAAGAACACTTCTGTTTCCATTCAGCCAGGGGGCGATACGTATACTGGCAACCTAACCTTTTGCTGTGTCCCATGTATACTTATAGATAGCATCCTGCATTGTGCGAATTGTACAATTATTCCTTGCAAAATTTGAGGCCAGAAAAGTCTAAGGACAGGGAATAAGAAATCCAGCCAAGTTTTACAAAACTAAAAGAGTTATGCCATGGCAAAATGTATGAAAGATCAGGCTTACCAGATCCAAACCCCATCCTTTCAAGTTTCTAGAGGGAGTATCAGCCCAAAATCAGGCTTTCAAAAGACCATGACAGGTTTGGATGAAACGACTGCCATTCACACGTAAATACTGCAAACGTGGACCAGCAGTGTCCACCACGTGTCATATGAATGTGTCCTGTATGCCTGCTCATGGCTGCAAGTCCAGGGCCCCGTGGCCGCTTGGCTTCTCACCAGAATTCAATGTACACAACAGTTTTAAAAAGCTTGTCTGGTCTACACGCTGTTGTAGAATAGCACACACACACGCACACATACACACACACACACACATACACACACACACACACACACACACACACACACACATCAATGACTGGAATTCCTTGTACATGTACCTCTGTTGATCTGGAGCTGTTACGTTCATCGTAACCCATTCACGTTCTTTTCTACCGTTAGTTTCATGATAGACCTTTTATGTTTTGTTGTTTCATGTCTAGCGGCCAAAGCAAGTCAGTAACTGAGCCGGCTGAGGGAACTAAGTATTTGGCGAATTTAGAGCTGCAGACGTCGGTTGCACTGAAGCTCCGCATCATAGAGTTGAAGCGGAAGTGCCACCGACCCTGGCAACCTGTGCCAATGCCTCGCAATCAAAAAAGTATGCCGACAGGCATGGTGGCGGCAACGGCTGCGGAAGTGGCGACAATGATGACTACGCCATAACCTCTGCCGACGATTGCTGTCTAGTGTCGTACATGCTGTGAACGGCTGACCTCTTTCCCCTCATTCATTGTTCCGCTCAACTTTCCCTACCGCCCCCCCCCCCCCCCCCTGCTGATTAGTCGTTGATCAGCTGTTTCCCCTTTGCCGTTCAACATTTCTCTGTCACCTTTTCCCCCCGCTTGCCTTTCCCTCCTTTGGTGGATTGAATCTACTCACTTGCTGATTAATCTGCTCTTGCTTTTGATGTCTGAGACTCACTCTCTTTACCTGTCCCTCTCTCTCTCTCCGTCTCTCTTTCTCTCTCTCTCCCTCTCTCTCTCTCTCTCTCTCTCTCTCTCTCTCTCTCTCTCTCTCTCTCTCTCTCTCTCTCTCTCTCTCTCTCTCTCTCTCTCTCTCTCTCTCTCTCTCTCTCTCTCTCTCTCTCTCTCTCTCTCTCTCTCTCTCTCTCTCTCTCTCTCTCTCTCTCTCTCTCTCTCTCTCTCTCTCTCTCTCTCTCTCTCTCTCTCTCTCTATCTATCTATCTCTCTCTCCCTCTCTCTCGCGCGCTCTCTCTCTCTCTCTCTCTCTCTCTCTCTCTCCATGATGATGATGATGATGATGATGATGATGATCATCATCATCATCTGCGTTGCCGAAAAAATAATAATAGTAAAATTAAAAAAAAATAATAATAAACGGCATTATGCAGCTGTGTAAGCAGCATAACATAACATACATATTTAAATGTACAATGCTATAATCGGTGGTCCTTTGGCGGGTGGATATCCGCACAAATGGTGTTCACACATACCCTCTATCCTGATGACAGTGATGAAGCTAACAGGCAGTGGTGTGTGGTCTCTAAGCGTTCAGAGTGTTCTCTTTCCTATCCCCACTGGAAATCGCGCGTGTGTGTGTGTGTGCGTGTGCGGGCGCCTCATGTGCAATCGTCCCTGGCCGGCTGTTCCAAAGCCTAGAGTGTTCATTGGCGGCTGTGGCAGGGACTTCCGTCGGCCCAACGATCTAACTCGCCACAGGAAATACTGCAACTCCTGATGCTATCATTGCACGGAGCAATGGGCATCCAAAGGTCCAAAGGTGTGAGCGTTAGTGTGAGTGTTACTATTTCGAGTGCCTGTGCCTCAAGGACGGTATACTTTATTGCGTTGCAGGTTCATTCCACCTAGTGATTTCATGTTTATTACAGGTCCATCTCTCTGGTTTTCCCTCTATCCTTTATGATGGATACTGGCCGACAATTTGATTGACACAGCAGAAATTGTCAGTAAAAAGACCCCAATTTGGGGTGTGGATTTCACCTCCACAATATGATTGTGTGGAATTTTAAATTAAATTTTATGTTTCCATCAAAACCAGTGCGACTGGTTCAGTTACAGCATGCAAAGGATTCTACTGTCTTACAATTAACTTGAGGCCTATCAAAGTGCATGACTCAGAATAACACACAAAAAGTCTTATTTTTCAGCGACGCAATGGTTGTGTGCGTGCATGTGCGCAAGCCGGTATGCATTCAGAAGCTGATGCACGGGGTTGGAAGAAAGGGAGATGCATCTGCATAGAGACAAAGCAGAGGCCGGATATCATTAACAGCTGTGTAGAAATGCTTTGGTGGCGTTGAGATGCAACATAGTAAACGGGCGGTGGACGATCCAATACATCGTAGAATCAGCGAAACCCACATAAGCTGATGTGGCCATGGCCAATGCTTCCTGCAGCCACAATACTTTCCGGTTGTAGCCAAAACGAGAGAGCTTGGAAGCTCAGGGCCCTACGCTATGCTTTTTTGCCTTGATGACCTAGCCAAAAAAAAAGCATAGGGATGTTATAAATTCTTTAAAGAAATCCTTTTTTTTAAGACATAACCTGGGATTCGAACCCGCAATATCGCGCGCCCTGCGTGCATCCCCCGATACACTTCGCACACATACTAATTCTTCCAAGTTGTTTCACATTGTGATCTTGCATTTGAAAGCCCTATTTGAATATGCATTGTGGCCAGCCAGCCGTCTTTGATGGCACGGCACGGTAGGGGATAGGTACGGGACAGGTACGATCGAGGGTAATACGACACCGTGTCCCGTACCGTACCGTACCATCAAACACAGCTGGCCACATACAGCTGCCCGCAATATTCAAATAGGACTTTCAAACAGGGAGTAGTACAATACCGGGAGGTGACACGGCCACACATCCGGGATTACGAGCTTTGCCTCACAAAAAAAATACAAACCGCGCGAAAATTCAAATTTTTGCTCTTTTGACAGCGCTGAAAAACCTTCAAATAGTGACCAGTCCTGGAGATGTCCTAGATAGGACATCACGGAACCCAGCATGCCCCAGCATACATACTATGCTGTTCCCATAGTAATCGTGACACGTGACTCAAAACTTTGTGTCGCGGCCGAGGAAGATGAACATGTTACACTCAAAACAAACGCAACGAAGGCCTTTCGTCTCAAAAGCATTAGTTGTCGTTCTCCTGGCGGCTTGCCTCAAGCGAGTCGAGATTCGTATCTTGCCTCTTGCCTTCACGAATTTTATTTTCCTCGTTGTGGAGTACGCCTGGACAAAGGAACTGGCAAGCGAATCGTTTTGGTCGCATTGAAAATTGCAAGTGCACAAGAGGATTGGCGAAGCAATTTGTGTTCGCACTTTCAGCAGAGCAGTAGCTGCTGCTGCGATAAAGTTTTTACTTTCGCCATTGGTTTCAGGCAGCAGAAGGATCTGGCTGAAAGCGATGGCGATACGTCCATGACCACCACGTCCTGGGTTGATATCCAAGAAAGACCGTCCAAGGTCCAGTTTTAGCCAAGAGCTGTCGTATCCAAGAAATCAAAAACGCCAACAGCAAGCTTTGGCCAAATAATATCTTCCAGGTAGTGATTTACGGGCCTAGCGCCTGCTGCCTCGTCTTCCTCCTAGATCCTCTGCATGGCCAGGTTTGGGGCGAAATGAACGCACGGGGCGTGAAGAAACATTCCAAAAGGACCAAAGGCAAAACATTCAAATAATTAGAACCAATCGTTTCCGAAGAAGCGCCGCGTGGCTACGAGAAACCCCACATGAAATCCCCAAACGAAAACGGCCATTCGGTCGGGTATTCGATGACGAATCGAATATACACTACCTCAATCCCCGCCGATGTCTGATATTCTCCGCCTATTCCTTCAAACTTGACCAATTCGGAAAGAAATCCATCGCCATTACGATCGTGCATCCTCCACATACATTCAGAAATGCTCACGCAGCACTTCTTTTCATCGCGTGTGCGCGACCGACGCTTCCATGACAACTCTGGGACAGGTAACCAATCAGGCTCATTCAGAGTGCGATGTCCTAGATAGGACATCTCCCCGACTGGTGACGAGAAGACCAGACGTATCCCTTCGTGACAAGCTGCCACTTGTTCTTTTCAGCTCGAGCCTTTTTTGGGAGCTACTCTGGTACATCGTCCACACTGCTGCCAAGTCTCGACTTCCCAAAATGGATGGAAGTGACGAATATGGAGGACGCTATCCTAGGTAAGTAACGTGATGGAATTTTCTCATCTTGACATGGTGTAACACGAACCTGAATTTCTCATTTGGACCCACTCGGACACCTCACCAAGTTGGGATATTTCGAAAGTATACCTATTTGTCTACCATTCTACTTCATCTCAACGTGTTAGCTTATGTAACTCTTTGTAAAACTCATTCTGAAAATTTTGAAACTTATTAATTTGTATAGATTTGAACATAATGTTCAAGATCACTTGTTTTCAGCACTGAATGAGGCCAGGTCTGCTTGCTTTGTTGCTTTTTTAACCCCCAGAACCCGTGGACAGAAGAGGAAGAGCGACGACTTGGGTGCGGCTGCGAAGTCTGCCTGCCCAACGCCAATTGCTCCTCACCCAAAAAGTAAACAAATTATATAGCAGGAGTGGTTTCAAGTGGTTTCAATGCATTTTGTTTTGGGGATGTTGGTGTGTACTTATGCAGTCCTAGCGTGTTGAGCAATAGCAATCATGAGAAGGGTATAATTCTGCAATACAACATTGTTGATTATAAATATGACACTGAAGCAATACTGAAACTACGTTCTGGGGTTGTATTTGTTTTCATGCGTGTTCTACAGCGCACCCCATTGACGAAGATCATCCTTGTATAGACGATGATAAATACTCTCATCTGACAAGGTTAGTTGCACAGTTCTACCATATGTGTAAGGTGGACGTCGGATATAACATGGCTTATCTCTTTTTGGTATGCCATCTACTGCACAGAACACGTCATCAGAAGTCACTGCCTGCTGCGAATAACAGCGCATCGTGTATGACAATCTCTTCACCAACAAGTGCTACCCGTAAGTCAGACAGCAGAGTACAGTCATTCAATAATAGCCAAGTAAGCCCATGCTTTATATGCTTATATGACAATAAGCTGATGGAGGAAAAACAGATCCAATTACATAAAAGTACGCCCAAAAAAGCAACGGCCAAACACGCACACACCAGAACAATTTCAATGCTCTTCATGCACACCAACTAGGCTTATAAATCTGCACAGTGTACGTAAATGAAATATCTTATCCGCAGATCGCATCTGACTTGTTTGATAAAACCTGCAGCAAAACAAAAGCACAACACAGACATATCGATGAAGCCTGTGTGGTTTTATGTTTGTTCTGATTCATACAGCCTCTTGTCCATCGTCACATGAAGAACATGGACAGCCGCAAGCTGGAAATGATTTCTCAACAGCAGAGAAGAACGATACTATCACGTTCACACCCTTGACACAGACTTGCGTCATAGTGACATTTGCGAATAGCTGCCCCTGCAGTATAAAATGTATTTTGTTTTGTGTTCCTCTCTGACGACTATAGCATCTGGATTCGGAATAGCCTTACTATCTTGAGACGGGTCAGCCATACCTGAAACATGTTGTTCATTGTGACTAAAACTTGAGTCAACATTATCTATTCCCCTAGAAACGACGTGAATAACTAAATGTAATACAAATTAAATTAGGAAGAAAATTTCACTCTTACAAGCCGCCCACGTAAAAACTGGACACACTGAAGGTACCCGTGCGAAGGCCAGCTGCTACTTGATATCCTTCGTAGGATTCATCCTCATCACTCAGCAAAGACTGATGGATTCGTTCCCTACATCGTCAAAACAAACTTCAAAAAGTACTGCTCGAAAACTTCTTGACAGCATTCTGGCACTCTCTTGAAGTGGTTCTATGAATTTTTTTGAAAAATGCTACGAAATGCTACGATAAATGGTACGCGAAGTACGATATTTCGTGACGTTTCCCGGGACACAGCGCGCGAAGTACGATATTTCGTGACGTTTCCCGGGACACAGCGCGCGAAGTACGATATTTCGTGACGTTTCCCGGGACACAGCGCTCCACAGAAAAGTGACCTGAGGCAAAGCTCGCCCGCCTGAATGTGTGGCCGTGTCACCTCCCGGTATTGTACTACTCCCTGCTTTCAAACGCAAGATAATAACGTGAAGCAACTTGAAGAATGGGTATGAATGCGAAGTGTATGGGGGAATGCATGTAGGGCGATAGTGCGGGTTCGAATCCCAGGATATGCCAAAAAAATAGGAGAATTGAAATTTTTTTAACATCCTATGCTTTTTTGCCGTCAGATACGGATAGCGCCAGGCGTGACACAAACAAACAAACACACAAACAAACAAATACCAAACGAGAGAGCTTGGAAGCTCAGGGCCCTGCGCTATGCTTTGTTGCCTAGCTCATCGCGCATGTTGTTAGAACTGATGGAAATGCTTTTTCCTTTGATTAGCTACATCATTGTATTGCAAAAACGTTTCAATGAGATACTGAAGTACAAGTAACGGCTTCTGCATAGCTATGAGACCGGCGCTGACTCTGCCGATCACGGGCGTTCTGGAGTCGACGGGATGTCTGTCCTGACGTTTTCTGGGACCGGCGCTGACTCTGCCGATCACGGGCGTTCTTCTTCTTCTTATTATTATTATACTGACGGCAACTAACATCCATTCTGATCGCATTTACTCGTCTCCCTACTTCGTATTTCTTTCCAGAAAATCTCCCCATACAGCAGGGAGTCGTTTACATAATATGACTCCCTGCTATACATCTACATTTATTTATTTATTTATTCAACATCTCCTGGCCCGTCCGAAGACTGCCAATAAACATGAGAGGTCAGGTGATAGCCAACCACGGCAAGCTAAAAGGGAAAAAAAAGAAAGATGCTGTCAGAGAGGGAAAGGAGATAGGGAGAGAAAAAGAAAGGGAGGCACATTAATAATACATGGGATCACTTCGGATGAGACAGTGTGGAAAGCTGGACTGTGAATTTCCTGATATCCTGGCATGTCTTAATGCTAGTACATGACTGTATATAGACCTTATTCGATAACGTGACTTTTGGACTCGCCTCCAGGGATTTGTCATAAGCTAGGGCACGCGTACGAGAAACGAGTGGCAAGAAAGGCCCAGTTTGTACAAAAGAGTAGTAAAATACCGGTATTTATCTACTCCTATGTTCGCACACAGAGTCCACTGTGCACTGAGCGCAGATCTCTTGCCACTCCCTGGATCCCGGGACCCCGGTTCACGTGATTGTGACGTTTATCGAATAAGGTCTATACGTTATAATTATTATGCTATCGGCCTACATGCGATTCCCGGGCTGGTCGACAGGCGGCCCAGCCAGCCTGCTAGTGGGATCTCGGCCTCGCACACAAATCCACACAAAATTTAATGGTACTGCACTGAATGCATTCCCCCCATACACTTCGCATATATACTCATTCTCTTGATGGTACCGTACTCTTGATGGTACGGGACAGGTACGGGATAGCGCCAGGCATGTCGATGGCACAAACAAATAAAAATATTGTGGCCAGCTGTCTTTGCTGGTACGGTACAGTACGGGACAGATACGGGATAGCGCCAGGCGTGACACAAACAAACAAACACACAAACAAACACCAAATTAAAGCTGTGTGGACCCTGGCTAGCGCCAGACGTTACTGAAGTAACGTCTTCTGCATAGCTACGGGAATTAAAGCTGTGTGGACCCTGGCTAGCGCCAGACGTTACTGAAGTAACGTCTTCTGCATAGCTACGGGAATAATACTGGTTGTCCTTCGGCACGCTCAACATGCAGTAAGCACTCATCATTGTATTATAAAATACTACTTACTTGCTCTACTAGTTGGACCAGAACACCGAGTCTCATTTCACATCTACTTGCGCTTGACTAATGCAGCAAATTATACTGAGAAGTTGATTGTTCGAACTAGGAACACACGCTTCTTGCCGAACTTGACACTTGACTGACTCACGACTGCCATCCGGAGCACACGAGGAGCACGTCGCACCTTCCACTCGGCAAACCTGCAAGAAAGCACCACTCCCTGCTCAATACACGGTGTTTCGGGGAATTCACCCCTCATCAGTTGAGCTTGAGTAGGCTGAGGAAGATTGTGCCTGAAAAGCACCACTTATATACTGCAGGTCAGCTGTGCACATTTTAATAGTCCTGCGGCCCAAATCTAAAAGACGTTGTTTTGCAAGTCCCGTTTCAGTCTCAAGCAGACAACCTGAGCTTTGCATGGGTGGAAAGACCATGTCCTAGGGATGTCGAAACGGCTTGTTGTCATGTCCAGAACTAGGGCATAAGCTGGGGAGAACCAATTTTAGGTTTCGTTACGGAAGTCGTTATTTTACGTTATTTTACGACTCCTTGATTGAAATTGGCAGCATGTGATACGATATTTTATTGAAAATTAGTGCAGTCGATGTGAATTTGTTCTTGTATTTGGATGATTCGTAGATCATGGTTGCCCTTTGCCGAGCGTTCATTTCCTATTGATGGTGATTAGAGATGGCACAGATTGATTTGTTGTAAAATTCGACCAAAATCACCCCCAAACATGGATCTTTCGTATGAGAGGATTTCATTTATTGGGACACGATCTCGACAACACCAGCGGAAGAGAGCTAGCACGAGCGAAGCAAAGGACACCGGAAAACGGCAGAGTGATAGCGATCATAAGCTGATCTTAGCAAACGAGCGATATGGAAGATGTTGTAAATAATAGCGCAGTAGTGTATTTGTCATTTGCTGCAGAGTTGAAAAGTACAATTCAAATTCAAATCAATTCAAAAACTTCAATAGTGCGGTCCACTAGCCTTAGCTTTCAGACTCACTGTCCGATTCACAGTCGGACTTACAGTCCAATCCACTATCGAAACTGCCTTCACCCTCATCATGGCATTGTGTGCATGCGCGCGTGCGCACACACACGTACACACACCGCACAACACATGACATTGTGCGCGCGCGCGCTCGCACACACACATACACAAACCACACACGCACACACACACACACCGCACAACACATGGCATTGTGTGTGCGCGTCCGCGCGCGCGCACACACTCACACATCACATAGCACGCTAGAGATCAGCAAGAACCTGCTGCGACCGTGGTTGAGATGGCGCTGTAGAAGACACCGCAGCCGCCACTGGTTGCCTCGCACCCAAGGTTATAGTCAAAGCCGTACTAGCCGACACATCTGTACTGGAGGCTGATGTAGTACCCAGAGATGAAACGGATCCACTGGTGTTCACCTGACGCGGCGGAGTAGCGGATCCTTTGAAGCCGAAATGAGTGGGCAACACGACATTGGCGGGGACAAGCCCAGTGGATATCGCAGCGGGCCTATCGTAACTCCTGGCAGTGAGCCTATCGTAATTCCTGGCAGTGGGCCCGTCGTAACTCCTGGCATTGGGCCCGTTCTCTTGCCGGACACTGGGGTGCGCAGTGGACGTGGATGCGGGCAGGAAATCTGCGGCGACCGGCTGGACTGGGATGGTTGGAGCCGGGCCAGGTGCGTTACTAGTATGACTGTTCGGCAATGACTGGGTATTACCGGCCATCGGACCGTTTGCAGACGACACAGACAAGTGGTTGCTCCGTGAAGAGTGCGCCTGTATACCCATGCCACTTACCATACATGTCAATTGCTGAAGGAAACACACAGTTCTAACACAAAACGCAAATGAACCACGCCAATGAAATTCGATCCTTAAACAAGTCAAGTTCGCATGTCCGCGTTATCACGGGCTATACAATTGTGTTTAGAAAACAACCAGTTTATAATTCTGTCTCTTCTTGCTTAAAGTCAGCCTAGAATACTGACGTCAGCTTTGGACATTACTCTGACTCGGACCACAAGCCCTGATTTATTCTGACCTACATGTGTACCGTGTGAAGTAGCGCGAGAGCCAAGCTGGTCGTAATAATACGTGTAACAGCCACGAACGTAATTCAACCAAAGAAGACTACCACATTACATGAGCATGAACACTTGCATTCCATTTAATACATTCCTATGTTGTAGATGTCAGGCACTGTAGTGTTCACGTCTACATACACATTGTGGCATTCCTTGGCCACCCAGACATTCATGATAGTAGCGCATCGTGTTATGTTATGCATGCAGCATGTGCCGTTTCCCAAGCGCGCGTGTGAAATGAACTTAGCGGCTTTTAGTTGCTGTGCATGAGTTGAGTCTGGACTCATGATCTGGTGTGTACATGCAATCATGTGATCTTGTAGTTGAGCGTATGTGTTATTTGGATTTCCTTGGTCATGACCAAACAATAAAACATGATCAAATTATTTCTACACATTCAACAATGCCAAGAACTCACCTGGTCCCCAAGTAGCTCATTATCTTCTTTTTCAGCATGAAAGTTGGATACTAAGGCGGAGTGTGATGGTCGGCCAAGCTGGTGCCGTTTGCAGTTATTGTACTTATCCGTGAGAAGCTTCATGGGCAAGGCCCTTGCAGACTTCAACTCGGACTGTATATACAGCACCAGGCTGTCAAATGTTTCGTAGGCCGACGGCTGGTCATTCCCTTTGCCACTTCGTTGCCGGTGCATAGTGGCCAGGTGGGTGAAGGCACTGTAGCATGCTTCGACGTTGATAGTGGATTTCCGCTGCAACGCAATCTGGGCCATTCTGGAGCGAAAGCCAAAATTCTTGCGTTGTTCTCCAACTCTGCTAGATGCACATGTCATGAGGCACAAGTCTGCAGATGTGGATTCAATCATTGTACATCTCTCCTTGTTCTACGCTTTGCTGGTACATGGTGTCCCATCATCACATACATGTGTCTCCTCCAATTCAGAATGGCTTGAAAAGTCATGGCCACGTCCAAGTGGCAGCCGACCCAGCAACGTTTTGTTAGTGTATGTACTGTAGCACTTGCGGTGGTACCATCCGCGGACGCTCTCGCACAAGAAGGTATAGCTCGTCCTGCCTGCATTTAGCAGCTTCAAACAAAGTTTCCCAACTCTGCAAAGTAAATCGGGTTTGCTTTTCCTGCGATGCATTGAACGCAATGGCACAAGCAAAATTCCCACGATACAACGCCATTCCCAGGACGAGGCCTAAGAAGCTCCACGGCCTCTTCCTCCATCATGTCAAAAGGTGTCTACCATGCTGTGAGTGGTGGGCAGGA